GAGTGCTAGAGTTTGAGACCAGCCTGGGCAACATAGAACTTGTCTCTACAAAGAATAAAAAATTTAGCCGGGTGTGGTGGTGTGTGCTTGTAGTTCCAGCTATTAGAGAGGCTGAGGCAGAATGATTGCCTGAGTTCAAAGGGTGAAGGCTGCAGTGAGCCATGATCAGCCTGGGCAACAGAGTAAGACCCAACTCAAAAGATTTTTTAAAAAAATCAGATTTCTTGAAATATTTTTATAAGGAATTAAAGATGATTTTCATTTAAAACATTTAAAGTTTTATTTGCTATAGAATACAAATAATTTCTGTTTTAATCACAAATGAACCCTGCAAATATTAGGGTTAAATATTATGAGGCTCACAAAAACTCCTCTATTTCAATAGTTTAAAGCAAACCATTATACCCAGTGAAAGATGATGTTCCCAAAAGCCCACAAAGCAAACACATTTAATTTTTGTTCTCATTTTAGTTCCATTTCCTCCAAATCTATCATGGTCATTAACAGCAATACACAGAAGTGACCCACAACTTAATCAACCTTTCCATCTTTATGAGTTTCCATACCAAGTAAACTACTAATTTCTTCTACAAGTACCAAGTTTTGAGAAAGTGACTAAACAGAGCACTGTAGGGAATAGAGTTGAGTGGGGACTAAAAGTCTGAATATAAACCTAAAAAGAGAGAAGCAAGAGAAATATTTCAGGTTCTCTGTTCCACAAGGGCCTATCACCCTAAAGTGTGTGAGAAAGAATGCCAGTCCTAATTGTTGCTCCTTAAAATGTTTAGAAAATGTTATTCATAAAACAGGATAACTTTTTTAAACATTGAGGCAGTCTGCAGTTGCCCTCCACCAAATATATGAGATGAGATCCAAAAAACTGGAATTATTTTTTGGAGGGCTGGACCCTTGTAGAAGAGGCTTACCCCACTAGGTAACTGTCCTAGGAACCCATCAGCATCAGTGTACCACCTGGGGTTGTTGAGACAGGTTGCGTTCGGCTCTGTGAATTTTTTTTTTGTTTGCGATTCTTTCAACGTATTTGCCCATTTCATGATGGGTGATTTACAAACGCATCTGTCCACACTACACTGAGTATTCAGCAGTTTTTGACCAAAAATGGCATAACCACCCATGCCCCACCCTCCCTATCCACCCGATCTTGCCCCAAGTAACTTTTTTTTGCTTCCCTGATGGGAAAGTCCTCAAATGGAAACGTTTAGCCAATGTGAAAGAGGCTAAACAAAACAAAACAAAAATGGCAGAAGCACTAAAAGGCATCAAAATCGATGAACTGAAAAACTGTTTTGAGCAGTTGAAAAAGTATCATGACAGGTGTATTGCATCAAATGGAGAGTACTTTGAAGGTGAATGTAGTTTAAATAAGTAAGAATAAATACACAATTTTTAAATAAATAATTTGTTTTGGGGGGTCCCCTCTTATATATGTAGATTCTAAAAAAATTGTTTAATCCAGTGTTTTCAAGATACTTGACTACATACCTTTTTTTCCCATTAAGAATCTGCAGGGGCCTGGGCTCAGTGGCTCAGCCTGTAATCTTGGCACTTCGGGAGGCCAAGGAGAGTGGATTGCCTGAGGCTGCAGGTTTGAGACCAGCCCGGGCAACATGGCCAGACCTCATCTCTACAATAAATCAAAAATTAGCTGAACGTGGTGGCACGCGCCTGTAGTTCCAGCTACTTGGAAGGCTGAGGTGGAAGGATCACCTGAGCCCAGCAGGTCGACGCTGGGGTGGCCATGAGTGTGCCACTGCACTCCTGCCTGGGCAACAGAGTGAGACTCCAACTCAAAAAAAAAAAAAAATCTGCAAAGTGGGGGGCATGTGGGGGGACATAGAACATCAATAAGGGTAACTGATCTCAAACCAGGTGAAATGGGGACCAAAGGGAGGCCCAAACTTTACCTGTACGATGACCACTTGTATACCCAACCCTGAATTGTACCCATCTTAAAAAAAAAAAAATCTGCAAACAGTGTACCTCTTGGCAAACTTAGAGACACTGTGTAAATGCTAGGTAATGTGCCACAGATTTAGGATCCATTAAGAAATTATACTGTATAAGTAGGAGAAATCCAGCAGGGCAACAGAGAACTGCTTTGAAATACTTAAGACAATATACAAAACAGATGTGAGTACAAAATGAAAACAATGCAACAAGAGTAGAACACATGGTTGTTGTTACTGGCATGACAAAAGCATCATCTACATAGCTATCAAATTGTTTCAATTATTTTTTCAACCTTATTGCCATAATTTTATCCAGGCTCTCTTCACCATAGAGTGGTGGTAAACTTAAATCTCTTTCAAAGTTACTTTCCTTGTTAGAGTCTATTTTTTCAAACTTAGTGCTTTCCAAACTTAATATATAATAATCACCCAGGGACCTTGTTAACAGTACAGGTTCTGGGGATGGGGTCTGAAATTTTTCATTTCTAGCAAGTTCCCAGGCAACCACATTTTGAATAACAGAGAGCTAATGCATCCTGTAAGCCACTGCCTCAAAACCACTTCTCTCATATTACCACCTCAGGAAGTCATATTAACTCAATGAGTCATGTATAAATGCAACTATACTCTATCAGTCCAGAACTTCATTCTGGACCAATCTTGTCTTTCTCCTAATTTACTACACTCATTTCAATCCACCCTGGTTTGTTTTGTTTAGGTAAAACATGTATACAGTGAAGTACAGATTTTAAACGTACAATCCAAAGAGTTTTAATAAATGTACATATCTGAGTAACCACTACTCCCCCAAAACATAGAACACTGCCATCAACCCTGTATTTTGACCCAACCCTTTAAATGCCCTTCCACCTTTCCACTCTCTACTTATTCTTAGACTCAAAAGAAGCACAACCCAAATTCACTCATGGATCTCCACCTTAATTTCTACCACTTTTAAGACCCTCTCACCACCTCTCATTGACTACATGGCTCCTCACATGTTCCCCTACCTCCATTCTTACCCACCCACCCCCACCCAGTATTTAATTCACATCAAATCAGGTCCCTTTCCTGCTTTAAAACTTGACAATGGTTCACCATTACACTTGTAATGAATCCAAATACCTTTTCCAGTATCACTAAGCTCCTCTTTTTTTGACCTCATCTCTTGCTACTTTCCCCATTACCTTCTATGCTCTGGTTGCATGAACCTTCTTCCTGGTCCTACAATACTGTGGGATGTCCCCACCTTAAAGATTCTGCGTTAAAAACATGGAACCAACCATGCTGCCCATCAAAACTGGACTGGATTAAAAAATGTGGTACACATATATGATGGAATATTATGCAGCCATAAAGGACAAACATATGGACTTTGCAGCAACTGGGATAAATTTAGAGTCGATCATACTCAGTGATCTATCACAGAAACAGAAACTGAATACCATGTGTTCTCACTCATAAGCAGACCTTGAACAATTATCATAATACTATAAGAAAGGGATTGGCTATATACAGCAGAATATTATGCAGCCATAAAGAAGGGCAAAATTATGAACTTCACAGCAACTAGGATGGACTTAGAGTTTATAATACTCAGTGATCTATCACAGAAACAAAGAACTGAGTATCACAGGTTTTCACTCATAAGCGGACCTTGAACAATTATCATAATGCTATAAGAAAAGGACTGGCAGTAGTGGGAATCTGCCAGGGAGGGGGGAGGCACACCTCATCAACAAGAGTACCTGCATAATGCACTTTTGTATACCTAACCCTGAACTGTACCCCACATCTTTAAAATTAAAAAATTTTTTTTAAAGAACAAGGAGAAAAGAAAGAAAACAGAGCCGGGCTCGGTGGCTCAGCCTGTAATCCCGCGCCTTTGGGAGGCTGAGGTGAGTGGATTGCCTGAGCCTGCGGGTTCGAGACCCGCCTGGGCAAGCATGACTTCATCTCTACAATAAATTAAAAAAAAAAAAAATTAGCCGGGCGTGGTAGCACGTGCCTGTAGTTCCAGCTACTTGGAAGGCTGAAGCGGAAGGATCGCTGGAGCCCAGCAGGTCGAGGCTGCGGTGGCCGGGAGCGGCCACTGCACTCCAGTCTGGGTGACAGAGTGAGACTCCAACTCAAAGAAAAAGAAAGAAAGAAAAAAAATGTTTCAACAACAAAGTGATTCTGCATTAGTTACTTCCTCTGCTCTTCCTCACCACCTTTATATGACTATTTTTTTGCCATTCAGATCTCAACTTCAGAGAATGACCTCCTCACAGAAGCCTGCCATAACAACACATTCTAAAGGATCTGCTCAGTCATTCCCTAACATAAATCATACTTTAATTCTCTACATGGTCTCTATCATTGGTATTTCTCTTCCTTACATGTTTGTTATTTCTCTCTTCTCACAAGAACATAAGCTCTATGACTATTGAATTTGTCAACAGTGTTCACTGCTTTAACTCCTAACCCAGAACAGTGTTCATATCATTTCAAGTAGATGCTTAACAAATAAGTATGCTGGTTGGGCAAGGAGCTCACACCTGTAATCCCAGCATTTTGGAGGAGGCAAGAGGATTGCCTGGGCTAGGGATTCAAGACCAGCTGGGACAACTTGGCGAGACCCTGTCTCTACAATAAATTAAAAAAAAAAAAATTAGCTGGCTGTGGTGGCGCATGCCTGTAGTTCCAGCTACTTGGAAGACTGAGGTGAAAGGATCGCCTGAGCCCAGTAGGTCAAGGCTGCGGTAGCCATGAGTGCAACTGCACTCCAGTTTGGGTAACAGAATGAGACCCAAACTCAAAAATAAAAATAAAAATAAATACATAAATATGTTAACATATGATATAATGTATATTCATACTGTGTAGATAGGAATTGTGCCTGGTATCCCAATACAAAATTTCCTATGAAACTGAAAAGAATAAGAAAGTCATTGCTCGTTATCAAACAAGATACATTCTTCACAAGAATGAAAGGGAAGGAAAGAATTGCAGCATTAACTTGAGGCAAAAAATAAAACACAGGCTAAGTCAAAGTTTAATTCACATAAAGTTTAATCAGTCAAGTTAATGAAAATATCAAAATTTTTGAGTTAGTGTATGGCAGCAGGAATTTAAATTTTGTTGCAAATAATAGAGTATTTGGTGTTTCCATTATCAATAAGCTATGCTGCAGAAAGAGCAATCGCATTAAATCTTAATTCATCAGGGTCACGTTCCATAAACTTCTTGCAAACTTCTATGGCATCCTATGAGGAAAAAAAAGTATAATTTTTTAGTTTAAAAACCATGTGACTTACAAATGACAAACAAGCATTTCATATTTTTCTAATTCATACTAACTTTAAATGGCAAACTTCCTTTTCCAAATGACAAAGACCACCAAGAGAGTGAACAGTTGGTACCCTAGTCTGCTTGACACAAAAATGTAAGATACAGTAAGTGTTCTTAAAATGCTTTTAAGGAAATATTACATGTTGCATTGATTCTAACCTACACAATTTGTTCACATTTTAAAATCTCTAAAATCAGGATCAAGATATGATTAATGGTATTTTGGACTCAATAGACTATGGAATGTAAATACTGTTCTCATCTTTTTCAAATCTGACACTTGTTCACAGAAAGAGCTCTGGAAATCTCTTTGTTGTAGACTTTTAACACTAATTCAAATTTTCCTTTTAGATTTTCTGAAGAGAGCAAGAATAAAGAAGCATCCAAATACAGAGAAAGTGTTATACAAGTGCTCTTTACAGACGTGTGTGTGTGTGTGTGTGTGTGTGTGTGTGTGGGTGTGTATGTGTGTGTGTGTGTTTCAGCTGGAGTCTCTGTCGCCCTGGTTGAAGTGCAGTAGCACACTCACGGCCACCGCAGTCTCAACCTGCTGGGCTCAGGTGATCGTTCCTCCTCAGCCTTCCAAATAGCTGGAACTTCAGGCGCACACCACTATGCCCAGCTAATTTTTTTTATTTATTGTAGAGACAAGGTCTCACCAAATTGCCCAGGTTAGTCTCAAACCCCTGGGCTCAGGTAATCATCTTTCCTCGGTCTCCCAAAGTGGTGGGACTATAGGCTTGAGCCACCACGCCCAGCTAGAGATGTTTTAAAGATGACATAATATTAATAACACTGGGCCGAGGTGAGTGGATTGCCTGATCCCGTGGGTTCGAGACCCGCCTGGGCAACTTGGCAAGACCTCATCTCTACAATAAATCAAAAATTAGCCGGGCGTGGTAGCGCGTGCCTGTAGTTCCAGCTACTTGGAAGGCTGAGGCGGAAGGATCGCCGGAGCTCAGCACATCGAGGCTGCGGTGGCTGGGAGCGGCCACTACACTCCAGTCTGGGTGACAGAGTGAGACTCCAACTCAAAAAAAAAAAAAAAACACTGAAGGTGGACCAACAAGTATTATTGTTACCTCTAATAATGTTTCATCACTAGTTTCCCCATGGTTAATTGGAAATGGTTTTCGCCCATCTGTGGAAAACAGACAAACAGTTGAATGCTTAGCTGTTCTTACAGGGTAATGTACTTTCAAACTTCCATTTTCCTTTTCTCACAGTGAGACAAGACAAGTTACAAGATATTTTTAAAAATATATACTAAAACAAATATTTTATATGTGCTACCTATGAATATTTTATAATATTCAGGATTATTAGAACTTTGCTTCCATGCTTAAAAGCCTAAATTATGTATCTTCATGAATAGAATTTATTACAAATAAATACTGGCTTTAATTTCCAGAAAGGAATATGCAAAATTAATAGGCAATTAAAAAAAAGTTATTACCCCAGCTTTTATTTAAAAAATTTTTTAAATTTCTTTTTTCATTTTAAATAGGAAGATCTTAAGTAAGACTGACATGTTTACCCCAATGAAAGGGAGCCACACTATCATGGCTTATATAATGCTACTGATAATTGTATACTACCAATGCAGTAATATAGAACAATAATCCAAATAACCTAGGATTATTTTACCGACAACAAATAACCAAATTCACAATTAAGCTAAATAATACTTTCCAATACAGGAAGCCTCCAACATACGAACAAGTTCCAGTCCAAGAACACGTATGTTAAGTCCCACAAAGTCAACCTAGGTAACCAACACAATTGGTTATATAGTACAATATGTATCTAACAGGCTATACTGAACCTGGCAGAGAGAAATTATACATAAAAAAATGTAGGTGTATATAATTAAAGTTCATAACTTAAAGGTCTGTATGTAAGGGACCTACTGTATTGTGAAAAAAAATGAAAAAGTCCAGAATTACATAAATTCATGCTAACCCAAAGTTAACTGATACTCTATATCCAAATCTATAATTGGCACTTCATCAAGTTAAATCCATGAAACACAGCCCCTTTTACAATTACATAGTTTCTAAGTATAATAAAAATGTATGAAGATGCATGCATAGTGACAGACTTGGTTGTTAAGACATATTTTTAAATAAAAATGATGAGTAAAAATTGACAAATAAATCTCCACATAAAGTAACATTAATTTGCATTAATTATACCATCAGCATTTGTGATCCTCATTTTTGGGCGAACATTGAAATAAATATTCAAAATCCAAAAGAAACATAAGTTACAGTGCCTAGACATTATTCCTAAAGTTTACAAGAACCATAAAGGAAATATTTTCCTACTAAATATTACACAGGTATGCTTATTTATCCACATTTCTATAAATCTATTTTTCTAATTATAATGCATATTTCTCAGTAATATACACTAAAACATCTCCTGAAAAATATCCTTTTATGGCAAAGGCATAGGCCTCAGTAAACTATTTAATCTAAATTTATATGACTTTATTATATTTGCTATGTGTTGACTCATTTTGTATGGTTTTATTTTTAAATTTTTGCATAAAAGTAAAGTATAAATAAAGAATGTAGGTTTTTCTCTCAATTAATTATGTATTAATATATGTTTTTCTTTTTTCTTTTTCTTTTCTTTTTTTTTTTTCCCAGAGACAATCTCATTATGTTGCCCAGGCTGGACTTGAACTCCTGGGCTCAAGCAATCCTTCTGCTTCGGTTTCACAAATAGCTGGGACAAGTGTGCCACTGCACCTAGCTTAATATACATAATTTCCTAGTTCCTATCATTTACTTATTGGTATCATTCAATAGACTGGTGAGCTAGTAAACTATAGTGAAAGATTTTCCTTCATATGCAGCTACTGTTTAAAGTGATATATAAGTAATTTCAGATATTATTATAGACTCAGAATTATTAAACATTTTATCTTGAAATGTCAAAAGAATATAAACAAAAAGAAACCGTATTGTTTTTTGTTATAATAACAGTTTAGAGCAAAGACTAATAATTATCTTTATTGTTGTTCTAATCCTGAGGTTGTCTAACTTCAGCTCATGAGTCAAATACTGCTTTCAGCCTATACTTATACCTCATTTAAGCTAAGACTTGTTTTTATGTTTTTAAAAGGTTATTTAAAAAAAAGAAGAAGAATATATGATAGAGAAAGTGTGTAGCCCACAAAACCTAAAATATTTACTACTTTGCTCTTCACAGAAAAATTTTGCCAAAACAATAAAATCTAAAAGTTGCTGTTCTAACCACCACTACCACAAAACTGCTATTTCTCAACAACTTTGGGTATAATTTAAGCAAATGTATGTTCTAGAGAAGAAGCCATGAGGCTCAGACACTGCTAAACCTAAAGGCCCCTTCTAAAAGAGGCAAGAAAAAGCTGTACCTTGTCTGTGGGTCCAATGACCCAGTAACCTCAGTCCAAATGGGCTGTACCTTTTATAGGCTGGACAGGAAAGAGGATGCTAGCCCAGCTCTTTGGTAGTGACTAAACAATTCATTCAGATCTTGTCTTTTTCACAAGACCCCAGAGAAAGACAGGCAAGAGAGCTGTACAAGAGACAGGAGACACAACAGATACTACAACACAATAAAATGCCTATAGTTCAGATCACCAAGTATCAAGTATCATTAAATGTTCAAGGACAGCTAAAAAATGAAATGATGGAGCTTAAATCAAAGATGTAAACATAAAACCTCAAACTATAAGAACCTTAGAAAACACAGGCGACACCCTCATGGAAATTGGAACTGGCAACAAATTCCTGACCAAAACCCTAAGTGCCCATACCATAAGAAATAAGATAGACAAGTAGAACCTCATCAAACTGATGAGCTTCTGCAAAGCAAAAGAAACCATCAAGAGAGTAGGGAGACAGCCCACAGAATGGGAAAACATATTTGCGAACTATATCTGACAAAGGCCTAACATCTGGAATTTACAAGAAACTCAAAAACGCCGCAAAGAAAAAAACAAACAGCCCCATTAAAAAGTGGGCAAAAGACATAGAGAGACACTTCTCAAAAGAAGATATACGGGCAGCCAACAGACACATGAAAAAGTGCTCAGACTCACTCATCATCAGAGAAATGCAAATCAAAACCACGTTGAGATACCACCTAACCCCAGTGAGAATGGTGATCATTAATAAAACAAACAACAGGTGCTGGAGAGGATGCAGGAAAAAAAGGAACGCTTCTACACTGCTGGAGGGAATGCAAACTAGTGCAACTTCTTTGGAAGATAGTGTGGTAATTTCTGAAAGAACTAGAAATTAACCTTCCATATGACCCAGCAATCCCCCTATTGGGAATATACCCAGAGGAAGTCAAATCATTCTACAAAAAAGATACCAGCACACACGTTTGTTGCAGCTCTATTCACAATAGCAAAAACATGGAACCATGCTGCCCATTGAAGCTGGACTGGATAAAAAATAATGTGGTACATATACACAATGGAAAATTATGCAGCCATAAAGAAGAACAAACATATGGACTTCACAGCAACTTGGATGGGTTTAGAGTCAATCATACTCAGTGATCCATCACAGAAACAAAGAACAGAGTACCATATGTTCTCACTCATAAGAGGACCTTGAACAATTATCATAATACTGTAAGAAAGGGATTGGCAGTAGTGGGAAACTGCCAGGGGAAAGGGGGTGGAATTGGCAGTTAAGGGAAACTGCCAGGGGAAGGAGGGGCATACCTCATCAACAAGGATACCTGCATAATGAACATTTGTATACCTAACCCTGAATTGTACCCCATATCTTTAAAATAAAATTTAAAAATTAAAATAAAAAAAGACTTAACAATAAAAATAAATAAAAAGTATAGGCATACCTCAGAGATACTGCAGGTTTGGTTCCAGACCACCACAATAAAGTAAATATCACAATAAAATGAGTCACAGTGTAATATAAAAGTTATGTTTGCATTATACTATAGTCTATTTGGTGTACAATAGCATTATGTCTAATAAAATGTATACACCTGAACTAAAAAATACTGTATTCCTAGAAAATGTTTTATCTTAACCCTGATGGGTGCTGATTGATCAGGGAGATGGTTGCTGAAGGTGGCAGTGGCTGTGGCAACTTATTAAAAGAAGACAATGAAGTCTGACACATCAATTGACTCTTCCTTTCACAATGGATTTCTCTGCAGCATGTGATGCTGTTTAATAACACTTTAATCACAATAGAACTTCTTTCAAAGTTGGAGTCAATCTTCTCAAACACTGCTGTTGCTTTAATAACTAACTTTTATCTTCTAAATCCTTTGTTGTCATTTTAACACACCTTCACTTCACTAGGAGTAGATTATCTTAAGAAACCACTTGCTTTGTTCATCCATAAGAAGTAACTCCTGACAGTGCACAGTGGCTCACACCTGTAATCCCAACACTTTGGGTGGCCAAAGCATGATGATTTCTTAAGGCCAGGAGTTCAAGTCCAGTCAGGTCAACACAGCAAGACCACTAACTCTACCAAAAAAAAAAAAAAAAGTCAGCAGGGTATGGTGGTGCATACCTGTAGTCCTGGCTACTCAGGAGGATGAGGTGGGAAGATTGCTTGAGCCCAGGAGTTTGAGGCAATGAAGTATGATTGTGCTACTGAACTCCAGCCTGGGCAACATAGCGAGACTCTGTTTCTATTAAAAAAAAAAAAAAAAAGCAGCAGCAACTCCTCATCTGTTTCATCATGAGACTGCAGCAATTCAGTAACACCTTTAGGTTCCACTTCTAATTTTAGTTATCTTGCTATTTCCACCACATCTGTAGTTGCTCCCTCTACTGAAGTCTTGAACCTCACAAAGGAATCCACGAGGGTTGGAATAAACGTCCTCCAAAATCCTGTTGATGTTGATGTTTCAATTCTTCCCCATGAATAATGAATGTTATCAATGGCATCTAGAATGGTGAATCCTTTCCAGAAGGTTTTCTATTTACTACCTACACCCAGACACATCAAAGGAATCACTATCTACAGCAGCCATAGCTTTGTGAACTGTTTCTTAAATCATAAGATTTGAAAGTCGAAATTACTCCTCAATCCATTGGCTGCAGAATGGATGTTGTATTAGCTGGCATGAAAACAATTTTAATCTCCTTATACT